TCTCTCTCTCTCTCTCTCTCTCTCTCTCTCTCTCATCTCTAACCCAATTTTGTCTACAATTTTCTTTTCGCATCGCTATTAACTAAAGCTATAAAATGTAATATTAAGCCCACGTCTTGATACCCGAAACGTAACAAAAAAGCCAAATATTAGCCAACAATATAATGGCATTAAATTGAGTCAAAGTTTTGTTGTTTTATCTTTATTTATAACGCGTTTCCTCTCAACCTCTAGGAGTGAATCCGTGCGACAATAAGATCGGGTGCGAAGACGGCCGCTGTATTGCCAAACAGTTGTGTTGCCTAAAACAAGTGGACGACAACTGTCCCATCAATAATCTGGTGCCGTGTTGTGCCGACTACTTGGAACAGTTGGGTATGTCTTTGCCTATCCTTTGCTTTGCCATCAATTATTTGCATTCAATCCTATACTCAGTCACGCCATTCATTCATCCATTCAGTCATACATTCTCTATATATTCTTTATATATATAATATATTACACAACACTTTCTTTGCCAACTCTCTCGACGACAGTCTTATTGTTAACATATTTTTCCTTACATTGAAAGCAGTGTTCAGTACACAAACACATCTCGACATTCAGTCTTGAGTTCACTAATAAAGTGAACATTACATGAGATCTCTTATGAGAGCTCTGATGGCCGCACCTCTTAACACAACTTTTGCCATTAATTATCGATTGTTTTGCACAATAAAACAATTTATAGCCATCACTAGCCTTGTCTATAATGTGTTGTATGGGTTGGGTTGGAGTCCATAGAGCCAAGGGTTAGGCATACAATTTACATCACTTTCAGTCATACCTTTCCATTCATTAGTTGTATAATAGATGACTGACTGCTAATTGCACTGCAATTCCTGACTACAGCACAATCATTGAGAGTCGACCTCTAATTAATTGATAATAAAAGGAGAATTGAATTGAAATTCACTTAAATATGATTTCAAAAGAGAGAAAGTTATACAATGTATGAAAAAATGTTTTAACGACTTTATGCCACGAAAATATCAGTCCTTTTCTCTCCTTTTGGTCGACGAATTGATTTTCTTTACACTATTTTTCACTTTTGGAGTCCATTAAAGAAATTGAGTTCTTCTCACAAAAAACTAAATTAACACAAAAAGGTTTACTTTAACTCAAAACCTGAACCTTCAATACGTTTATAAACGATTATAACGGAGAAAATACGAAATCATTAGTGACCAAAACATTACAATTATATACTATTCTGTGCTATACTTTATATATTACTTTTAACCATATATTCTGTATGGATATAAATGCCGTCAATTTTTGTTAGATTTTTAAAATTAATATTTCATATCATTAAAGGAAAACTACAGTATATTTTCTCATTAAATAATGAATGATTGAGTCATTAATTTCTTAAATAATTCATCGATTTTTTATCCGTTAAGTTCTCAAAAGAAATGATAACAAAAATTATACAACAATTCCATTAATCATATGTTTGTTTAAAAGAGAAATTCAAACAATAAGTTTTCAAACATTAAATCTTAAAATGATTTTTCTTTGTGAATATATTCTTAATATACTTTTATGTGTTATATTTTTTTATAACAACTAATTTATGATTTACTTTTAATATTTACTATTATTCTAAATATATTCTTACTTTTACGTCTCTCTCTCTCTCTCTCTCTCTCTCTCTCTCTCTNCTCTCTCTCTCTCTCTCTCTCTCTCTCTCTCTCTCTCTCTCTCTCTCTCTCTCTATTTTCTTCAAAAATAGTGAAACTTTGGCTATAAATCTCAAATATAACACACTTTTAAGTCTCCTATCGATCGCTTTTATTCATTAGTATTTGCGACACGTATTCCTTGCAAAAGTTAGTTAACCGTTAAAAGCAGTCCTATTTTTCATTATAAATAATACATCCTTTGAATTAAAATTTTTACTTTATTTGTACTATTTTTGTACTAATATAGGCCCAGACTTTATATGCATTCATACAATTGAATATAATATAAATATACAAATTATTCGTGAATTTTATTATGGATTTATTTTTATTTATCTGAGAAAAGAGTTTTATTGTGAGAATTTTTGAATAATAATATTAAATACATTATTAAAATGTGTATTATTATTATGAGTTGACATAAAAAATTTATTCAATTTACGAAATTTCATACTTTAAAGAATTGAAGAGAAGTTAAATCTGAAAATAAATTTCAATTTCAAAGAAATTTCATTGAAATATATTTTGATGAATAGAGAAAACATTGGATTTCAATGAAGAATATTCTGATGTATCGATTGATTGATTCAAAAACAATATATTGATCGCCGCATGTCTTTGAAGAGTATACTGAATGTGAATTAAGTGTGAAATATATTATATTTACCCTAAAAACCCATAGATAAGACGAATTATAAAATTTTGAAAGTAAATGTTCCCATAGATAAGACGGCCTATGTATTAAGGCCAATATAAGGCGAATTTATTATAGGCAATTTTAAGTTCAATTTATAGAATACTTTTTTCAAATATGGATTACCAACAGTTAAACTACAAGCTTGAATCAAATTGTTTGTTAATTTTTTTATTGATAAATAATTAGAGCAAAAGAACAAATTATCAGGAAGGTTATTGAAGAAATTTTTCTAAATATAAATTCTATTTACAAATAAAATTATATATTTAATTGATCAAGTTTTTTTTGGAGAATATATCATATACAGCCCAACTTCTCTTGGATGAATACCTCTTATCTATAGGTTTTTAGGGTATTAATAAATTGAATGTTTGGCGGAAAGTATTTCATAACAAATATAAAAAATTCCTTAAATTCATGTCTGGACACGAATTTCATATCATTTCTCCCAATAATTCACTCAATTCTTTAAATTTAGTTCACTTTCCTTTTCACTACTCGTCTCTCAAAAAGTTTAAACTTAATTACAAATCGGGAAAATCAATACATTTTTATACATAGATTTACTGAAGTGACTGTTATTGTCGTAAAAGCATTTTTATTTCATATACAAGAATACATGCGAACCAAAAAAGCTATATTTTATTGATTGAATTAGAGATACATTGAAACACATTTTGAGAGCAAATATTCGGACAATTCTTATGATTTCTTTTTATTGATTTATACCATAAAAGAAGACAACATTTTGATTATATCTATACTTTACGATCTACATGTTTATGTACATTGTACATGGTTACTTTTATTTTGATGATAGCAACCATAAGACCGGTGGCGGACATTGCATTTAAGGACAGTTTGAT